TCCGCGACCGCTGCCTCTGCTTCCGGTGGATCCGGTTCCGGTTTCAAGAGCAAGGAATACATCGAGTCGGACGATTCTTCGTCTGACGACGATTCTCCCAAGGTGAATCAATCATGCCATTGATTTCGTTGCCGAAATTTCGATATGCCCTCAAATTCGTCAAGTTTATAAAATTGAGGAGAAATAATTTTTTTTTTCATTGGGGAAATGAAACCGAGTCCGACTGCCAAAGAAAAAGAGAGAAACTCTTGATGTTACTGAGATTGTTTCCAACATACAGAAATCGATACATTTCTCAATTCCTGATCGTATTATTTTTATTTTGCAGACAGTTTTGTTAAGAGTAGAGGTCCAAAATATGCACGATCCATGTGAACAGTGGAGTTATTTTCAGTAAAGTGATTATTTTCATTAAAATTAGTCTTGAGTGTCTTGAATAATATGCAATGTTATTCCCCTGAAACAAATCTTGTTTAGAGGACAGGTCAAAAATATGCCAAATCATTGTGAGCAATACAATTTGTTTCAGTAAAATTAACCTTTCGAATAAATATCATGTTGTCATGAATAATCTTTTTTTACTTCAGTAAAAAAATCGAATACATTTTGTATTTTCTTTTCGTGTCTTTATTAGTTTTCTAAAGTTACACTCGGAACAATCTATCCTGTGTTTTAGAAAGTTTTGCGATGAATTGACGAAATTTGAATATGAATCATCTTTTCGCATGGGAATCTAAGACACGCTTATATTTTTCTCTTTTTTAAGAAACTGGAACTTGAAAAAGAATGCGTCTCACTTTCGGGAAAATATGAAATTTTCTTACAGCTGATACATTTTATCCTAATTGTTTGTTTTCTCTGAATTCATTTTTCAGAAAGGAAAGAAGTCCAAGAAGAGTGAGAACGAAGATTCTGGCTCCGCATCGTCAGACTCTGGTGGCGACAGTGACTGAAATTCCTTTTGAAAACCACACTTTTTTTTTTGTAAAGCCCACTTGTAATTTTTTCGGTTGGGAGGAAAAAAAATGTCAAATGCGAATTTTTCTCCAGCAAAAATCGTTTGCGTTTATATTCATTCTATTTTTTCTGCGTGGATGAGAAGTGGAATTTTTTTCCCATCCCAGAAGGATTTCCTCATTGAATGTTCCGAATGACGGATGGAGGGAGTGAAGAAGAGGGGGTATGGAAAGGAAGAAAAAACATGGCTTATCCAGGTCGTAAGTGAGTGAGGGAAAATTCGCTGTCTTTCTAAACATTTTTTTTTGTTCCATCAGCCGACGACGACGACGACGAACACGACGACATTTTCAGTTTTTCCCTGTCTGCGACGAAGTGACGTTTGAAGTNTTAAAAAAAAAAAACGGAATTTCGCATTATGAGGGCATATATGGAGTTGGTGGACAGTGATGAGGAATTCCCTATTGGTGTTTTGCGCGTCATGGAGGATGCAAAGATTGCGAGGAAAGTGTCTCACCTGTGTTGCATGTTTGCTGTTTTCATGATCTCTTCTGTGGCCTATGGTTACCTGATGGTGAGGAACAAAGTGTTCATTTTTGTGTGAAGTTGATCGAATTTAGCAGAAAATGGTATTTTTTTTATCTAGGAAATTATAATTGTGGGCCTGAGATGCAGAATTTATTTGTGCTTGAACCCGTTCCCAAATCCAAATGTTGGATTTCCTGTAGACTTCACAGGGAATATATTTGATTGGAACTCCCATTCATCAAAAATTAGGAAGAAGTCCCCCAAAATTGAATAGAAGGATTTTTCTCAACTTCAAAATACAGAAAATAACTTAGCAAAATAAATTTGATTGGTTTGCATGAAGATGACCCGAAAATGGCAAGAAAAGAAGCACACGTCTTCCTATGCTCTGCACATTTGATGGGAAAAAAATCACCAAATTGGCCTGTTCTGAGTTCGGAATTATAATGAATATATGATACAGTTTTGTTTTACTTTTTGTGAATATAAAAACCTCAATTTGCTGAAGAGATTTCAAAATGAAGAAAAATTTTCTAACATCAAGTTGGAATAAATGCAGATTTGTGCTGAATGCTTTGGAAATTTCCTTTACAGATTCTTGAATAAATTCTTGGTAATTTGTATACTCAGCATAAAAAAATCTTCAAAATTTTCTTAATCACTTCTTGCATATTGTTATAATGAACTTAAATGCGCCATTATTTAATAAAATTCTCCTCATTGAGGTAAATAAAAATAATGTGTCTATGCTATTGAAAGGTTTGTTCAGTGTCAAAGTAATAATACTGGGTGGATCACAAAAAAATTTGAATGGATTCTTGCCTTGAAATAGCTGAATGCTGGCAACTAGTAAGCTTGCATCAAGATTCAGAAGTGGAGCAACATCCCTTCGCTCAATATTCTTTTGCACTTCTCACCCCCACCCCCTAAATTTTGGAAATTTCTGCACCCTCCTATTTAAGGCAGCAAGAAATTTGCCAGTTTACTGGTCCTGCATCCCAATTATCCCTGGAGACAGCTCTGGAAAACAGCAGCTTGAAGAGAAAAAGTTGCCCAACAACTTTTATTTTTGCAATTGTTCATGCAAATATTTATTGTGGCCATGCTGTGGTACTTGTGGCCATAGAACTGCCTACCATTTGAAGGTGCATTGAAAAATCATTTATTTGGTGTTTTTTTTTTCATTGCCACAGCTCAATTTGCTACCAAGCTATTTGAAGTAAAAAATTGGTTTGCTTTTTTTTGGTCAACCCTGTATATGGAAAGGGTCAAAGCAACCTGCGATTCTAAGGACAATCTCATTTCATGCAGACCATTATCTGAAACTGTGTCCACTATCCAAAACCAAAAACACAGCAGTGAGAAAAATCCATTGTTCAAAGCGCTCCACCTAAGCATAATTAAGATGAAAAGTTAGTCATCAAAAAATTATTACCTCAAATAATAACATCTTGTGATATTTAAATTCTTTTACGTATAAAAGAGCAACTCAAAGCTAAATTTCTTTCAGGAGTTTTTCTTGACAAAATCTGTGATGAGAATTGAATTAAATGTTTCTCATGCAATGCTTTATTTTCTATAATTTATTATATTTTATCAGCATTATTCTGCGTTGTGTGCTGATCTTATTATGCAAATTCCATTTGATGAAGGTAAAATGAAGTGGCTAACATTCGAATTACATGTCATGCTTTTTATTCTACTATTTATGCGAAAATTTATTTAAACTCATGGTTGATGAAAACTGATGACATAATTGTTTTTTTCACAGAACTTCTGTTTTTTTGGAGTGCTTTTTATGTGCATACAGTACTAATATGTGTGTCACATAAAATAATCTTTTGCAGCTCTTATGTTGTTGGAAGTTTGTCCTCAAAAAAGGATAACCCAGGTGAAATGGCACGAA